ATGATGATGATGATGATGATGATGGTTATGTATAGTAGTGATAAGGGTGATTAGGTATAAGGGAGAGGTAGTTTGGTTGATTATGGTGATGCTGATGGTTATGGTGACGAGTTCTTAGTGATGATTAAAGCCAGAGTTATAGTGAAGGTGATGAAAATGATGGTGGTGATGATGGTGGATATGGTGAAGAGTCCTTAGTGATGGTTAAACTCAGATTTATGGTGAAGGTAATGAAAAAGATGGTGAGGATGATGATGATGGTAATGGTGATGTTGACGAGGATAGTGATGATGGTGATGACAATATCGTGACACTATAACGATCATCTACTTCCTGTCTCCGTCAAACAACAGTAATAGTATTTTGGGTCGATGTTAACCCTGTCATTCTCAACCCCCGTTCATTCATTCTCAATCCCCGTTCATTCATTCTCAATCCCCGTTCATTCATTCTCAATCCCCGTTCATTCATTCTCAATCCCCGTTCATTCACTAGTTGTCAACAGAGAAACCAACGGTAAGTGCATAATTCTCATGAACAAAATGAAGAATTTACTAAGAGACATAACATTCTAACACATAAACTTATACACCTACAGCTATACACCTACAGCTATGCACCTACAGCTATACACTACAGCTATACACCTACAGCTATACACCTACAGCTATACACCTACAGCTATACACCTACAGCTATACACTACAGCTAAACACCTACAGCTATACACCTACAGCTCTACTTTGACGGATACAGACAGTCCAAAAGCTATGTATTGATAGACAGACCAACATACAGACAGGTAATAGATGACAAAGCGACAGTTGTAACTTTTCATGGTGACGAGGCAGGATACCTTCTCTACAACTCCCATAACTCCCGTCCCCATAACTCTGACCCCCCATCGTTCAGACCCTCACAATCCCCCATCACCACGACTACACACAACCCCTCCCCATCACCACGACTACCACAACCCCTCCCCATCACCACAACCACCTAGCCCTCCCCCATCACCACGACTACCACAACCCCTCCCCCATCACCACAACCCACAACCTCCCCCCATCACCACAACCACAACCCTTCCCCCATCACCACAACCACCACAACCCTCCCCCCATCACTTTAACCTCCAACCTCATCACCACAACCTCTACACCCCCCCCACCTCCCCACCTCCCAGGACAAAACACAACCTCAATAAATAAACAGAATGAAATTTCCTCTGTAATAATGGCACCAGGCACCGGGCGCATCACCTGCTGGGGGTTCGTACTGGTTAAAACACCATATTTCACGCTCTTGACTGTATTTTGGGCGGGGGATTTTACCCATAATTTTTGCCTCGATTCTGACAGGCGACTAACAGAAATTCCCACGGTGTGATGCAGCTGGGAGGTAAGAACAGTGAGCAGTCAGTCCCATACACCCACCGTCTCGCCTCCCAGCCTCCCTCTAATGATGATTTTTTGTAATACATTCATACATCATACATACATACATACATACATACATACATACATACATAGGGATAGGATTAACGAGAACTGTAAAGTCAACGATGATTACAGTTAACGTTAGACTGTAGCTGTTGAGGTTAACGTGGGATTAACTGACCAATCACACCTAACGACGTTTATGGGATGGGTTTAACGAGGGGTGGAGGAGCTGAAGGAGTGGAGGGGATGGAGAGGGGTGGAGGAGGGGCAAGAGGGGTTGAGGAGGAGGGGCAGGAAAGGGATAGAGGAGGAAGGGCAGGAGGGGTTGGAGAGGAGGAGGGGTGGAGGAGGGTGGAGAGGAGTGGAGGAAGGGGTGGGGTGGAGGAGGGGGTGGAGGGATAGAGGAGGGTGAGAGGGGGTGGAGGTGGGAGGCAGGAGGGTGGAGGACGGAGGAGGAGGAGGAGGTTAGAGAAGGGATGGAGAGGGGTGAGGAGGGGCAAGAGGGGTTTAGGAGGGTGAAAGAGTGCAGGAGAGGAGTTAGGAGAAGCAAGAGGAGATGAAAAGGGGCAGGAGGAGATGAGGAGAGGGGCAGGGGATGGGGAGGGGGTACAGGAGGGTGCAGGAGGGGTGCAGAGGAGGAGGGGGTCCAGTGTCAACAGTTCGGAGGACAGATGAGCGCCGACGTTTGGTTTTGCCGCCTTACACACTCATTAATTTCACCAGGCAAATAACATCCGAATTAATTGTTTGGGTGCGATTAGCCGCGGCCCCCTTCGCTGTCTGTCTGTCTGTCTGTCTGTCTGTCTGTCTGTTATTATCTTGCTCGACCAATACCTGGACCTGCCATGATCTGTCTGTCTGTCTGTCTGTCTGTTATTATCTTGCTCGACCAATACCTGTGACCTGCCATGTCTGTCTGTCTGTCTGTCTGTCTGTCTGTCTGTTATTATCTTGCTCGACCAATACCTGTGACCTGCCATGTCTGTCTGTCTGTCTGTCTGTCTGTCTGTCTCGTAATATCCCTATAGATGCATATCAGTTACGTGATTGTTTCTGTTCTATGTATGTATGTATGTATGTATGTATGTGTATGTATGTATGTATGTATCTGATAGGAAAGGTTTCAGCTCATCACCCCCAACCCTCACCTACCCCACCCTCCCCCCTCCTCCCCCAACCCACCTTCTAGAATATCATATAAGATCCCCTACAGGTGTGCTGGATTCGCCGCCCACAGCCAGACAATTAAGAATTACAGGAAACACTCAGTAAACACCTTTTGATAAACGTGTAAATTACTGTGTTAATTAAGAGAGGTATTAGCACATGCATGGAATATATATGTAAATTATGGGAGTAAAGAACAGGGAGAGAGAACAAGGTAACATGTAGTGGGAAAGAACAATAACATGTTAGCGGTAGTTATAGAGAGAACAGGAACGGGAAGATATATAGGTAATTTAAATGAATATCACGAGATGTAAAACACACACACACACACACATAGACACATTTAGAAACCCAACTCACATACACACGCACACACACAACACATACATACAGACAGGAACTACATACACACACACACAAGCCACACAAGACCCCCCCCCTGTGTGGGCAGCAGAAGCATCATGCAGGGTTTGTGAGCGGCATTATTATTATTATTAAGCCGTAAGCCAAGCAGTAGTGGTGGCCAGCGACGCAGTCCACATATAACCCAGCGCCGCCCCACCACCACTGTCAACCCCGGAACTAGGCACCTTGATGGACACGATAAAGGCGGCCAAATGTGAGAAAACTGGCCCTTATCTCCGGGTTATCTAGCGGCGCCGCACCCAGGTCTCTCCAGGTGGCTCACTGGCGGTCGGGGGGTCTGGCTGTTACACGACCCGACCCCGGGACAACTACCCGACTACTGTGTCCTCTGGCGAAAGTTTCATCCCACCTTAAATTAACTTTTCTCTTTGCCTTTCGTTCTAAGACATTGTCGTGTGTCTTGTAGGAACACAGACACGCTCAAGTGGCCATATTTCTGGCTGGTCACTGCAGCTGTGAGTCAGGCAGGAGACCAGGGATGGAGGAAGGGGGGGAGGGGTGGGGGGAGGGGGTGAGGGGTAAAAAAACAGGAGGACGCCAAGTTACATTTTTATTACCTTGAGGGTGATGGTGAGGTGAGTATGTGTACATCACCCACCCCAGGTAGACGCCTCCCGGCCCCCTGGTCACTCCTCCTCACCCGCCCCTCGTTTCACGCCACTTACCCACCTCCTGATGCTACCATTACCACCCTTAGGGGCACGCTGGGTAATGGGGTGAGGAATGGGAAGTCTAGCAGTACTATCATCACTACTATGGGCACGCTGGGTAATGGAGGAAGAGAAATGGGAGTCATTCGAACGCTAATATGAGCTTGAAAGACCCACATTATCAGAAGTTGTTATGAGTTAGAGTAAAGGAATATGCTAATCACCCCAGGAACACACACACACACACACAGATCCGAGGTCCTTACGATAACCATCATCACCCTTAGGGACACACAGGAGTTTATCATCACCATCATCATCATCATTAGCCTGAGTCCTTAACCTGAGTCAGTCTATACTGCTAGTGGTCGCCCTCCCTCGCAGTCTAGAACCTCTCTTTACCCAGTGAGAACCTCCCAACCGCTTGATGTCATCTCACTATTAAGTTACACTGGGGGACAGTTAACAGTACACACCGTCTCTCATCCTTCTCATCACTAGCTTGTAGGATGTCCAGTCATTACCACTACTGACCGCTATGAGACTCATGAGAAATTATCATCAGGTGTGTTGTCAAAGACTTTCAGGACAGAGATAAATAAAGAGGAAGAGAGAAACAGAGATGGACGGCCAGACAGAGAGATGGACGGCCAGACAGAGAGATGGACGGCCAGACAGAGAGATGGACGGCCAGACAGAGAGGTGGACGGGCGGACAGAGACAGACATACAAATAGCTAGCCACAGGGATGCAGATTGATTCATTTATGGCTAATATGCTAAGCTTAGTGCAGCGAGGTAGATAGATAGACAGTTAATAGATTCACATATTAGTATATAGACAGACAATGCAGCTAAGTAGACAGAAAGACAAGTAGATATATACCGTAAACAAATAAGTATACTTACAGACAAACAGGTAAACGGATAAATGGACATGTAAACTGTTAGACAGATAAATAGGGAGATAGACTGTCATGTAAGCAGACAGAAGTGCAGACAGACAGCTAGACAGACAAGGAGACAGACCTCACCCAGGAGAGCGTGATGAGCGTGGACGAGAGGAGGTGAGAGCCAGGCGGAACACTTGACCCCTCACTGTGTGGGTGAAGATGGTGGCAGGACCTTGGGCACGGTGGTGGCAGGACACTGGGCACGGTGGTGGCAAGTCCCTGGGCACGGTGGTGGCAGGACCTTGGGCACGGTGGTGGCAGGACACTGGGCACGGTGGTGGCAAGTCCCTGGGCACGGTGGTGGCAGGACCTTGGGCACGGTGGTGGCAGGACCCTGGGCACACGGTGGGTGGCAGGACCCTAGGGCACGGTGGTGGCAGACCCTGGGCACGGGTGGCATCTGGGCACGGGGTGGTGGTGGCAGGACCTCAACAGTGGGTGCAGGACCCCTGGGCATGCGGTGTGGTGCAGGACCTTAGGGGCACTGTGGTGGCAGGACCCTGGGCATGGTGGTGGCAGGACCCTGGGCACGGTGGTGGCAAGACCCCAAGCACAGTGGTGGCAGGGACCCTGTGCACGGTGGTGGCAGGACCCTGGGCACGGTGGCAGGACCTGGGCACGGTGGTGGCAGGACCCGCACGGTGGTGGCAGGACCCTGGGCACGGTGCAGGACCCTAGGCACGGTGGCACCCTGCGAATGGTGGTGGCAGGACCCTGGGCACGGTGGGATGGCAGGACCTGGGCACGGTGGTGGCAGGACCCTGGGCACGGTGGTGGTGCAAGACCCTGGGCACGGTGGTGGCAGGACCCTGGGCACGGTGGTGGCAGGACCCTGGGCACGGTGGTGGCAGGACCCTGGGCACGGTGGCAGGACCCTGGGCACGGTGGTGGCAGGACCCCTGGGCATGCAGGTGCAGGCAGACCTGACACGGTGGTGGCAAGACCCTGGGCGCGCGGTGGTGGCAGGACCCTGGGCATGGTATGTGTGACCCTGGACACGGTGGTGGCAGGACCCTGGGCATGTGGCAGGACACTGGGCACGGTGGTGGCAGGACACTGGGCACGGTGGTGGCAAGACCCTGACACGGTGGTGGTGGCAAGACCCTGGGCACGGTGGGTGGCAGGACCTTGGGCACGGTGGTGGCAGGACACTGGGCACGGTGGTGGCAAGTCCCTGGGCACGGTGGTGGCAGGACCTTGGGCACGGTGGTGGCAGGACCCTGGGCACGGTGGTGGCAGGACCCTGGGCACGGTGGTGGCAAGACCCTGGGCACGGTGGTGGCAGGACCCTGGGCGGGAAGGTCTACACCAGAAGGTGAAGTAACATGCAGCAACAGGAGCGGCAGAAGTAGTAGTAGCAGAAGCAGTAGGTAAAGAGGAAGAGGCAGCAGGACGGCCACCATTATCTGCTGTTCTATTCACCATCTCTATGATTCTTCTTTTTCATTCTCTCATTCTCTGTCTTTCTTCATATTTATATTTACGTATTATGGTACTTGCATTATTCCTTTTTTGCATTCTTTGTCTCGCTTTGTTCTCATTTTTACTTATTATTCTCACCTTTATTGTTGTCTTTCCATGTGTAATAATAACCTTCCTATTCACATCATTTTATTTTTATTTTTTTATTATTTACGGTAAAATTCCTCATTCTTATATTATTTGCCTTACATTATCCTTTTTGTTCTTTTTCCTCTTTCTCTACCTCATCCTTTCCATCCCCTCCTCCCCCTCCCATTCTCTTCTCACCCTCCCCCTCCCCTTTTCTTCTCCCCTTCTCTTCTCTATCTCCCTTTCTCCCCTCCCCTCCTCTCACCCGCCTATTTTTCTTCCTTTTATCCTTCTTCATAATTCTCTTCTCCCTTCTCCCCTCTTCTCCCCCCCTCCCCTTCCTCCTCTTTCTTCTTCATCTTTCCCTCTTCGCCCTTCCATCTCAATTGACCTCCCCTCCCCCACTCTCCACCTTGTCCCTTCCTCTCTCATCTCCCCTTTGTCCTTTCCTCCCCTACTCCCCTTCCTCCCCTTCTCCCCTTTCTCCCCCTCTTCCCCCATTGGTAGCTCATTATCATCATCATCATCATCATCAAGAGGCTGGCGGTCTGATCCATATCTAGAAATGTTTGTCAATCGTAGCCAGAAAGAGAGGTCGCCCACGTTGCTTGAGTTGGCTACACTGTCTTCTCTCGCTTCTTGAGTTGGCTACAGTTTTTCTCTAGCTTCTTGAGTTGGTTACACTGTATTCTCTCGCTGCTTGAGTTGGCTACACTGTCTTCTTTCGCTGCTTGAGTTGGCTACACTGTCTTCTTTCGCTGCTTGAGTTGGCAACAGTGTTTTCTCTAGCTTCTTGAGTTGGTTACACTGTTTTCTCTCGCAGCTTCAGTTGGCATTTTTTTGTTGTTGTTGTTTGACTTGGCTACACTTTCCTCTCTTTCTGCTCGAGTTGGTTACACTGTCTTCTCTCTCTGCTTGAATTGGCTACACTGTCTTCTCTCGCTGCTTGAGTTGGCTACACTGCCTTCTCTCGCTGTTTGAGTTGGTTATACTGTCCTCTCTAGCATCTTTTGTTTTGGCTACACTGTTTTCCACATGCAAAGTAATATTATCCTCATGATTATTGTCAAAGGTTATTTATATAATCAATTAAATAATTTCTTGTTTGAATTGGCAACAAGGTCTATCGAAAATTGGCTGTACTGTCTCCATCTATTTTTTTTGTATGCTTTTAGTTGGTAACACTATGTTTCTTAGAGGTTACTTGCCTGCCTGAGATGGTAATACTGTTTATTTTGTATCTTTTAGGTAATGTTTTATCATATCTGATTTTATGTAATTATGACATTCAAATACACACACACACACACACACACACACACACACACACACACACACACACACACACAAGTAAAGATGGCCTCTTGGTAACCACCCACGTCGTGTCAATCTTCCTGTGTACATATACAAATCATTTCCTGAAATATGATAAATGGTTGAGTGTCTCCTCTCCTCCTACGTCTTAATATTATGGTAATAAGCGCCGGAATATTTACATACAAAATAAACACATTAATACTTTGTCTAGAAATATCTCTGCTTAAGGAGATATTCGAGTATTTATTTCTGAAATCGCCGAGAAATAGTTTAATGTTATGCTATATTAATTTGATGAATATTTAATGAAAACGAGAAATTTTAACAGTGAATAAAACAAAGAAATCAACCTATGACGTCTTTCACCACTAACCTGTGTTGCGACATTCAGACCTAGAATCCTTAAAGGGAAACAAATAAACATAGACATAAATTCTTTCCCTAATCAGTGCACGACGATAAGACCGGTTTATCTAGACCTTAAAATGGCAATAAATCTGGTCCGCCATATCCGATGTAGAACCCGCGAAAACACATGTACCTGTCCAGCTAATCTCCTGCCCATCACCGCGACACGCTGTCCGATCCTTCGCCTACGACCTTAACCTCGACTTGATGTTGTCCTTGATGCCGTGGACTGATAAATTATTTTCTTTAATTTTGTGCCTTGATTCTTGTTTGGAAATAAAAAGTAGAGGTAATAATAGAATTTTAGTGTTTGGTTTGGGGAGTTTAGTTTAAGAGTGATGTAAAGGTTGCCTCAGGATGGATTTGTTTTCGTGAAAAGATTGGGAGGCGCCGACCAGGGGATGAGACAAGGGGTATGATCTGCCAGTCGAGGTGCTTATTGTTGTTTATGTGTTTGATTCTCTCTAACAGATGAACCAATATATAAACACAAGAAAAATAAGGAATATGTTTCTATCTAAAAAAAATGAAATGGTTAAAAAGGGAAGTGCAGTTGTAAATACTAAAAGAGGTTTACGTAAATCAGGATAAATCCCTCGCCAGTAACGTTAATTCGAGGGATTAATGCTGATCACTACCTGTTTACAACTCAAAATCATATGAGGGAAAATTAATCAGGATAAAGACAACTGCTGCATTCCATAATTACCATCTAATTGTAACATTGGGATCATGGCTGGATCAACCCACACAAATACTTATTAGCAGGAGGATCAGCTCAGGTTTACAAGAAAAATAACATCTTAAGGGTGGGATTGGATCCTTTTTTCTCTCTCCTTCCCTCTCGTGAGCGTCGGAGGCTTAAACCTGTGCGGGTGAGGGATGCGGTGTGTTTGTGTAGTAGGTCTTCCTGGCATCTATACAAGGCTGGCCCACCCACGTACTGTACCTTCCCCGGCCAGGCCAGGCCAGACCAGACCCGGCCCGGACCAACACAGTCACACAAACTCTCGCCAAGTGCGCTTCACCAACATTCCTTTGTATTATATATATATATATATATATATATATATATATATATATATATAACAATGCCGCGGCAATCCCCGAGGGTTATGGTGGTGTTGCTCGCCAGACAATACGCCGCCGTAAATTACCATAACTGATAAGTATTGTCGCCTCGACCAACAAACAACACGAGAATAACAAGTTTAACTTTTAATATTTATATTGAACTTTATGTTTACACCAGCTAAACTCCTGGGCAGTGTTATATATCTGGGGTTGTGATATAGGAAAGAAGGATGATATGCTATGTTCACTTGTGTATGATATATCTAGTACTAACCAATGGTTTATTACCTATATGACAACACACCACAACCATCACCATTGAGTATTAAATCATTCTTAGATTTCACATTATTCTACTATTTATTTTATCACTACAGGTAGTTAGTTGGGTGGTGGGTGAGTGTGTACAAGTCACGGCGGGACAACAGTTGTCGTTACTTATTAACAGTTTGTTCAATATTCTATACCGAACCACGACACCATCAGAGGTTCCTGTGAGGTGTAGTGATGGTGTCTGGTAGTGTGTGGTTTGGAGGTCACGTGTGGTGTGCGGAGGAGTACACACTATTTACAAAATCCCTTGTTGTTTGTGTTTACAGATTCCCTTGAGGAAATTACACAAGTAAAACACAAGTAAATACTCCCTCACTTTCTGTACATAACGCTGTCCTCCACCACGGCCATCCACACACACACACACACACACACACACACACACACACACACACACACACTACTTGACAGACATATATAGGGCGAATAACACACAGAGGATTTGACACGTAGACGTAAGGAGGAGATATAGGTGTGAATGAAGTGTTGGAGAGGGAGTGGACGAGGGTCTACTAAGGAGGTCCAGACATAGTGAGAGGCAGGTAAAAAGGTTATGGTAGGAGGGAGAGGGAAGACCAGGAAGGAGATGGAAGGATGGACTGAAGGATATCCAAGAAGTGAGGAGGATGAACACCAAGGAAGGAACAGTGTACGTGAATGATTGGAGAATTGCTGATGGGTGCTGCTGATGGGTGCTACTGAAGGGTACTACTGATGGGTGCTACTGAAGGGTACTACTGATGGGTGCTACTGAAGGGTACTACTGATGGGTGCTACTGAAGGGTACTACTGATGGGTGCTAATGGCTGCGCCCATTGATGGTGCCATTGAAGGGTACTACTGATGGGTGCTACTGAAGGGTACTACTGATGGTGCTACTGATGGTGCTACTGATGGTGCTACTGATATACTACTGATAAGTGCCACTGATGGGTGCTACTGAAGGGTACTACTGATGGAAGCATTGATGGGTGCGTATTGAAGAGTACTACTGATGGGTGCTACTGATGGGTGCTACTGAAGGGTACTACTGATGGGTGCTACTGAAGGGTACTACTGATGGTGCTACTGGTTAGTACTACTGATGGTGCTACTGAAGGGTACTACTGATGGGTGCTACTGAAGGGCATTACTGATGGGTGCTACTGAAGGGTACTTCATTGATGGGTGCTACTGCTGATAGGTACTACGTTTTTACATGAAAGCTTTGTTAAAATGATTCTTCCAATATCAACAATTCAATATCTCTTATCAATATGTATTATGAACCTTCAACTCTGTTATTTTCAATTAGTAACCTGTTGCGTTATTACGACAGTGTTCAGGTGCTGCACAACGTACTAAGATACGAAACACAAAGTTTCATTGCACACCACATAATAGGACATTCACACTTTCACTCTATATATTAAGTAATCATATGATCTGCGATTAGGGATAGAAAGAAAGAGGGAGAGCAATATAAAGATTGGGAAAGTAGGGGACTAAATAGATAGATAAATGGAATGACAGAGAGAAAGTGAGAAGACCATTAAAAAGAAACTAAATAAAAAAGAACAGAAGACATAAAACATAATCACGTATAATAATAATAACAATAATAATAATAATAATAATAATAACAATAATAATAATAATAATAATAATAATAATAATAATAATAATAATAATAATAATAATAATAATAATAATAATAATAATAATAATAATAATAATAATATGTACGACACGGTATCACGCAA